AACAGAAAATGAAACACCGCATATTCTCACTCATAGGCGGGTGATGAAAATTGAGAACACATGGACACAGAGAGGGGAGTACTAAACACTGGGGTCTATTGGGGGAAAAGGGGAGGGCCAGTGGGAGGGGGAAGTAGGAAGGGATAGCCTGGGGAAAAATGCCAAATGTGGGTGAAAAGGAGAAAGCAAGCAAAGCACACTGCCATGTGTGTACCTATGCAACTGTCTTGCATGTTCTGCACATGTACCCCAAAACCTAAAATGTAATAAAAAAAAAAAAAGTTTTCCCATTCTGTTGGTTGCCGATTCACTCTAGTGACTGTTTCTTTTGCCGTGAAGAAGCTGTGGAGTTTGATTAGGTCCCATTTTTCTATTTTGGCTTTTGCTGCCAATGCTTTTGGTGTTTTGGTCATGAAGTTTTTGCTTACTCCTATTTCCTGGATGGTTTTGCCTAGATTTTCTTCTAGGGTTTTTATGGTGCCAGGTCTTATGTTTAAGTCTTTAATCCATCTGGAGTTAATTTTAGTGTAAGGTGTCAGGAAGGGGTCCAGTTTCTGCTTTCTGCACATGGCTAGCCAGTTTTCCCAACACCATTTATTAAACAGGGAATCCTTTCCCCATTGCTTGTTTCTGTCAGGTTTATCAAAGATTGTATGGCTGTAGATATGTTGTGCTGCCTCCGATGCCTCTGTTCTGTTCCATTGGTCTGTATCTCTGTTTTGGTACCAGTACCATGCTGTTTTGATTACTGTAGCCTTGTAGTATAGTTTGAAGTCCGGTAGTGTGATGCCTCCCACTGTGTTCTTTTTGCTTAGAATTGACTTGGCTATGCAGGCTCTCTTTTGGTTCCATATGAAGTTCATTGTGGTTTTTTCCAGTTCCGTGAAGAAAGTCAATGGTAGCTTGATGGGGATAGCGTTGATTCTGTAAATTACTTTGGGCAGTATAGCCATTTTCACAATATTGATTCTTCCTAACCATGAACATGGAATATTTCTCCATCTGTTTGTGTCCTCTCTTATTTCGTTGAGCAGTGGTTTGTAGTTTTCCTTGAAGAGGTCCCTTACGTTCCTTGTGAGTTGTATTCCTAGGTATCTTATTCTTTTTGTAGCAATCACGAATGGCAGTTTATTCTTGATGTGGCTTTTTTTAATGCTGCTGTTCGTGTATAGGAATGCTTGTGATTTTTGCACATTGATTTTATATCCTGAGACTATACTGAAGTTGCTTATCAGTTTCAGGAGTTTTTGGGCTGAGGCAATGGGGTCTTCTAGGTATACTATCATGTCATCTACCAATAGAGACAATTTGGCTTCCTCCTTTCCTATTTGAATATACTTTATTTCTTCTTCTTTCCTGATTGCTCTGGCTAGAAATTCCAGTACTCTATTGGATGAGAGTGGTGAGAGAGGGCATCCTTGTCTAGTGCCAGATTGAAAGGGAATGCTTTCAGTTTTTGCCCATTCACTATGATATTGGCTGTTGGTTTGTCATAAATAGCTTTTGTTACTTTGAGATACGTTCCATCAATACTGAGTTTATTGAGGGATTTTAGCATAACGAGCTGTTGAATTTTGTCTAAGGCCTTCTTTGTGTCAATTGAGATAATCATGTCGTTTTTGTTTCTGTTTATGTGGTGAATTAGGTTTATAGACTTACGTATGTTGAACGAGCCTTGCATCCCTGGGATGAATCCTACTTTATCATGCTGGATAAGCTTTTTGATGTGCTGTTGTAATTGGCTTTCCAGTATTTTATTGAAGATTTATGCATCTATGTTCATCATGGTTACTGGCCTGAAGTTTTCTCTTCTTGTTGAGTGTCTGCCAGGTTTTGGTATCAGGATGATGTTGGTCTTATAAAACGATTTGGGAAGGATTTCCTTTTTTTGGATTATTTGGAATAGTTTCAGAAGGAATGGTACCAGCTCCTCTTTGTGTGTCTGTTAGAATTTGGCTGTAAACCCATCTGGAACTGGGCTTTCTTTGAGTGGTAGGCTCTTTATTGCTGCCTTGACATCAGACTTTGTTATTGGTCTATTCATAGTTTCAGCTTCCTCCTGGTTTAGGCTTGGGAGGACACAGGTGTCAAGGAATTTATCAATTTCTTCCAGGTTTACTAGTTTATGTGCATAGAGTTGTTTGTAATATTCTTTGATGATGGTTTGAATTTCTGTGGAATCTCTGGTGATTTCTTCTTTATCTTTTTTATTGCATCTATTTGGTTGTTCTCTCTTTTTTATCAGTCTGGCTAGTGGTCTGTCTATTTTGTTGATCTTTTCAAAAAACAAGCTCTTAGATTTATTAATTTTTTGAAGGGTTTTTCAAGTCTCTATCTCCTTCAGTTCTACTCTGATCTTAGTTATTTCTTGTCTTCTGCTAGGTTTTGAGTTTTTTCGATATTGCTCCTCTAGCTCTTTCAATTTTGACGATAGGGTGTCAATTTTGGATCTCTCCACTCTTCTCATATGGGGACATATTGCTATATATTTTCCTCTGGAGACTGCTTTAAATGTGTCCCAGAGATTCTGGTATGTTGTGTTTTCGTTCTCGTTGTTTTCGAATAACTTCTTTATTTCTGCCTTCATTTCATTGTTTATCCAATCAACATTCAAAAGCCAGTTGTTCAGTTTCCATGAAGCTGTCGGTTCTGAGTTAGTTTCTGAATTCTGAGTTCTAACTTCATTGCACTACGGTCTGAGAGGCTGTTTGTTATGATTTCAGTTGTTTTGCATTTGCTGAGGAGTGTTTTACTTCCAATTATGTGGTCAATTTTAGAGTAGGTGTGATATGGTGCTGAGAAGAATGTATATTCTGTGGATTTGGGGTGGAGAGTTCTGTAAATGTCTATCAGGTTGTTTTGTTCCAGGTCTGAGTTCAAGCCCTGGATATCCTTGTTAATTTATATAAATAGTGCTCATGCATGATTATGCCCTGATTCCAGCCCCACCCTCAGGCTGAGAAAGAGAAAAGCCATTTCACAAAGGAGGATCTCCAGGCTCAATGAATGAGGATGGCAGGGACTACTTTGTAGAGTGTAAATCTTGGTAAGAGATGGGCCAGTTATGGTGGCTCACACCTGTAATCCCAGCACTTTGGGAGGCAGAGGTGGGTGGATCATGAAGTCAGGAGGTAAAGACCATCCTGGCTAACATGGTGAAACCCCATATCTATTAAAAATACAAAACATTAGCAGCTGTGCTGGCATGCACCTGTAGTTTCAGTAAATTTGGAGGCTGAGGCAGAAGCATCGCTTGAACCTGGGAGGAGGAGGTTGCAGTGAGCCAAAGACATGGATGCAAGATGAACCCTTTAATCAGAGTACACAGTGTCCAATTTTTTTTTTTTCAGACAAAGTTTTGCTTTTTACCCAGGCTGGAGTGCAGTGGCGTGATCTCGGCTTACTGCTACCACCACCTCCTGTGTTCAGGCAATTCTCCAGCCTAAGCCTCCTAAATAGCTGGGATTACAGGCACGCGCCATCATGTTCGGCTAATTTTTTGTATTTTTAGTAGATACGGGGGTTTCACCATGTTGACCTGGATGGTCTTGATCTCTTGACCTCGTGATTCACCCGACTCAGCCTCCCAAAGGGCTGGGATTACAGGCTTGAGTCATCGACCCCGGCCTACAGTGTCCTTCAGCCTCTATTTCCCACTCACAGACACACCCACGGACATGGGGTAAGACACCTCTATTTTCAGTCCTGCAGTGCCCACTACTACCCCCTGTCCTGTAGGAGTCTGGGCCTTGATTTCAGAAAACCTTTTCTTACTTCCATCCCTCTCCTAAGCGTGGCTTTTTCCCTGGAGCCTTTTGGGTGGCCTCTGGTCAAGCCCCATGCATCCAAGATGCTCTAAAGATCGTAATCCTCAGAGAATCTTGATTCCTGTCTTTTCAGGAAGGCTGTGCAGGTTCTGGATAATTATGTTTACTTGGTGAGCAAAAAGAGTAAGATTTGATTTACATTCAGGGAGTCTAGAGTCTGTCTGAAAAGGTTTTCTATAGAAGAAATAACCTGCATGAGGAGACTATAATAATTTGGGTAGAAACCCATATTTGCAAATGTGTTGAACTGAACCCCTCAATGTACAATCTAGAGTGAAATTGGTATTTATGTGTTGGCATATTCATAGAATTGCAGAGTGTAGAGCAGTGAAAATGAAGGAATTCAAGCTCCACATAGCAATACGAATGAACCCTAATAACAAAAATGTGAACAAAACATGCATGATCTGAACAAAGACCTAAGAGAGCAGGCATTTTGAAGCAAAATTTCACAATATAGTGGAAGTAAAAGGAATGCAAAGCAGAAAGGCAGGAGCATGTTAGTCTGTGGCAGCAAGAAGATCCCATGGTGGGTTAAAAACAGGTGGTCCCAAAGTGTGTCAGTAACAGGCTGTGCATAGAATTTTAGTGCTTAATAAAGTATGAGATTAAGAATTACTTATCATAATATACATATAAATGGTTTACATTCACTGATTGTAAAACAGAAGAGCAAACATTTTTTAAAATGGTAATTAATAGATTCAATGCTATCTCCAAAAAGCTACAGTTGACTTTCTTCACAAAATTGGAAAAAAACACCTTAAATTTCACGTGGAAGCAAATAGCAGCCTGCATAGCCAAGATAATCCTAAGGGGTGGGGGGAAGCTGAAAAAAAAAAAAAAAAAAAAACGCTGAAGGCATCATGGGACCTGACTTCAAACTATAATACAAGGCTACAGTAATCAAAACAGCATGGTACTGGTAGCAAAATAGAGATATAGATAAGTGGAACAGAATAGATGCCTCAGAAATAATGCCACACATCTACAATTATCTGATCTTAGACAAACCTGACAAAAACAAGTAATGGGGAAAAGACTCCCTATTTAATAAATGGTGTTGGGAGAAAGAATGTCTCTGAAATACTGACTCACATGAACCCCCAGAAAGGAAGAATAAGCTGCAGCTAAAGCCTAAGTGTGTGAGAGAAGGAAGGCAGTAGTCCTCACCTGGCAGAGACAAGGGGCCTTCTGAGATGGAATAAATAACCAAGGACTATCTCAACTCTTCTCCACAGGTCCCGCTGACGATCACGGCCAGTGATCTCCCAGAAAGTCTGGAACAAACAGAAGCATTACTTTTTAGGGCCAACACCTTTCTCCATAATTCCCACCTTCCTTTTCTAAATGATTGCACCAATTAAAACAATGTACACCTTCCAGGTAGATTCTACACAGCAGAGAAAAATCTTCACGAGAGGCATAAAGGCTGGACTGCACAACCCTTCACTCCACCATTCTTATCTGTGCATTTCCCTGTTACTCCTTCCTCCCCCTGGTACCTCCACCACAATGACTTTTGCTACATCACAGACAGGCCTGCAAACAGGGGTGGTGGTGTCAAGGTTAATGCGAGCTAGGATTGCATGACTGCCTGTAAGTCTGGACAATAGAATGTGACTCTATCTCAAAAGAGAACAAGTATCAGCCACTTGTAGATTCCCTCCAGTTATTTCTATGGCCCGCACTTTATTTGTACAAGTACTAAAGCTGTGCTCTTAACAATTTGTGCCCGTTCTGAGAAAAAATTCCATGGCCCTTGATGATTGTGATGCATGTGCATCCCACACACACGGGTTTACTGTTCTCTTGTTATTTCGTTCTCTTTCAACAAGCATTATTTCTCACTGGAGTGAATTACATCACTGTTACATCCTCATATCTTGTTTTCACAGTTTCAGAGTTGAAAATGAAGACAGGGCAGTGTTCCAGAAGAACCCACCCTCTTCTTTCAGTAACATCTCACAGGTCCTATACATGCCAGGGATTAGGGTAAAAGTTTTATACATATTAACTGTTCTATCCATGTGAACCTCCTACAAAGAAAAAATTTCTAGTAATCCTCTTTGGATGGGGAAATTGAGGTAGAGAACATTTAAGTAACAGATCTAAGATGGCACTGCTAGTAATAGGAGAAATCAGGACAGATATCCAGGCAGTCTGGCTCCTGATGCCTTGCTCATAACTATGCCTCCACCCCTATTTCCTCAGAAATAATGGGCCTGACTGTGGTAGGGTGGGAATGAAGAAGCCTGAGTTTGCCCTTAGACTCCAACCTTTTGCATTATGAGAATCTCTTACAGAATGGTAGGCCGTACCCAGCCCTGCCTGTCTCATCCACTCTTAATCTCTGTGGCAGGCACCACATACATGGCCTGTGAACTTGTCCGTAGGTTCTTGAGTGACAATCAGAGAGACACTGATCCTCCCTTTTGTGTGAGTACTCCATGGTCCAAGGATGGTGCGTGATGGAGGAAGAGAAAGAATATTGACGTAGGAGGTAGTCTCATGTGAGTGATGTGGAAATGTCTAGTTGGCAAAATGGAGGCATAATTCAGGTGAAGGTCCTGGAGATCCTCCAGCACCAGGCATGAAACTTGCAGTTCCTGCACTGTGGGCCCATCACACAGCCTAGAAAAAAAGGGCACTCAGTGGGTTTCGACTGTGGTTTCTTATCAAGCAGCATAAATTTTTCAAGAAATAAATAACTTATAACCTCAGGGAAGTTACTGTGGCTCAGTTTCCATCTGGGAACACGGGGTAGAGCATTTCACTTCTGAAGGGCAACAGGAGCTGAAACAACCCCACAGGGATGAGGGTTGTCGTAGCACCAGGAAGGCTTCTGTCTGCCAGGTGGAAAAGGGGGAAGGAATTTCTATGTGTGTCCTGTCTGTGCCCCACAAGGGAGGGTTCGGCACCATTTGCTGTGTGCTTTCCCCTCTGCAATGACCCACAGCTGCAGGTGTATTTCCACACCGCTGTGAATGAAGACTCAAACATTACCTTCCACTTCTGAGTGTATCTTGGCCATTGTGTGGTTATGAACATTCATTAATGTGAGGCCTGGACGTGTGAGGTGACATGCCACAATGTGCCCTTCAAAGATGGAAAACAATTGGACCTGGGCCTCACAGTGCTGAACAAGGAGTACCAGGTGAGCACCCAGGAGCTCCCAGCACGTGGCCTTTGAGGGCTTCCAGAGCAGGAGGCAGCTCTCCCTCAGATGGCCACATGAGTCCCTTGGGCTCCTCCCATTACTACCCTTGCCCCAGGCTTTTCACCACAGAGCACCTTCTGCTTCCACTGCCATTTTCAGCTTGTTTCCTAAATCTGACCAGGGTCAAGGTCAGCTTACCTGCCATTTCCCCCAAGGAATGGAATCTCCACTGTCTTTTCTTACAGTGCTCATTTCTACTTAGGCGGTTACTTATATTTTCATTTAGCTGAATGAATACAATATGTGTAAGGATAAAATTGTTGCAGTCATTCAAAATATAAGCCGTTGTCTCACTCATGGACTCGGGGTTGACTTCTGAGGACATTACCAGTGCTCTGCTCTCCTTCCAGAGGAAACCTATGCCTATAGAAGCATAGAGGTCTACGATTTCATTTGCTTTTTAAACAAATAGTGGTATAAACTGCTCTACACATCACACATTAGAAGTTCATTTGTTCTTAAAAAATGTATCTTCAGGACATCACCTATCCATGGTGCTGCCTCGGTTTCTAAAGACTGCATAGTATCTCAATAGGAGTACCCAAAGTGATAGAATTTGACCCTTTTGGTGGGCATTTAGGTTGTTTCCAACGTTTTGCTTTCACAAATAATGCCATATTAAGCTCTCTAATCAACGCTTCTGTCATTATCAACCTTCTGATACTTACACTGGAAGATAATTACAAAGAAATGGAATAACTGGGTCAAAAATGTGTGCATTTAAAATCGAATATAGTACACCTATAAGAGAACTTTCTCTATAGACCTCAGTAGTAAAGAATATGTTCAAACTTTCTGGCCTTCCCTAATGTTGATGCCCAAAGATTTACATTTTATTCCCATTTCAGAATCTTTTTATATGCTAATCAGCTATAAAAATAATATCATATGTTTTACAACCCTAGTTCTGTTTTAACTCTCTAGGAACAATGAATTTCATTCTTGGCCACCACCAACTCAGATCTCAGAGACTGTAAAGAAAAACTAGGCCATTGGCAGTGAATGGCACTCATAGTTCACGGAACTGAAATATAGGCATCACATGAACATTATCAAGCACTAACCCTCTGTTTAACCCTGTGCAAGACACAGGGACTCTACCTCACAGGACATAGAGCCATGGCCAGGGAGAGCCTCACATGGCTCTCCCTGGCCATGGAGAACTTCAAGGCTAGAGTGGAGGCTAAGCAAACAGAAGAGGTCGTGTAACACAAAGTAGTAGAATCCCACTGGAAAAATGAGAGAAAACATTCAAAATACAGTGAGCTACTGTTTGAAATAGCGAGAAAGGTAGTCTGTAAACAGAAGCCTCTCTGATGCAATCTGAAACTGCCTTTCTTTTCTTTCTTTTTCTTTCTCTTTTCTTTCCTTTTTTCCTCCATCCCTTCTTTCCTTCCTTCTCTGCTCTTCTCTTCCCTTCTTGTCTTCTCTTTCTGATGGAGTTTTGCTCCTGTTTCCCCAGCTAGGGTGCAGTGGTGCAACCTCAGCTTGCTGCAACCTTCGCCTTTTGGGTTCCAGTGGTTCTCCTGCCTCAGCCTCCTGAGCAGCTGACATTACAGGCATGTGCCACCATGCCTGGCTAATTTTGTATTTTTAATATAGATGAAAATTTGCCATGATGGATAGGCTGGTCTCAAACTCCTGACCTCAGGTGATCCTCCATCTTGGCCTCCGAAACAGTTGGGATTACAGGTGTGAGCCAGTGGACCTGGCTGAAACTACCTTTCTGATGTCACCTGAAACTGAACAAATAAGCACAGACAGATTTGGAGCCCAAAGGAGCTGACAAGGGCTCTTCATTACTTTCCCTTGGCTGTGACCCTGGGTGAAATTTTAAGACAACAGAGAATCTGATTACGGTTCCTTTGCACACACATGGGCTTCTTGAGAAAGCCAGTTTCTCAAGAAGTCAATGGTGCAGTTCCTCAAGAAATCGATGGTACAGATATAAATGATTTCATAATTGACTGGGTACTGATGTATAATTAGTAGTTTTCTTCTACAATTATTATAGGTACTAGGACAGAGTACAGAGTAGGCTGAAAGTTCAGTGGAATACTGTCTTCCTGATGCATTGTGTGTGTGTGTGTGTGTGTCCATGTGTGTGTGTGTGTCTGTGTGTGTGTGTGTGTGTGCTAAGTGGCCAGCACTGTTAAATCTTTGCCCATCAACACCTGTCATGTTTTAGTAAAATGCTGCAAGTGTGCAGTGGTGTCTACCTGACCTCAATGTGTGTCTGTGACTGACAAAATAAGCACACTCCCCATTGTCGAGGTATCCCACTTTCTATTTGACCATGGGATTCCCAGAGCCAGCTAATAGCATAATCCCTTCTCACTCAAACCCTGACACTTGGTCATTAAAACTTCACCAGATTTCCCAGGATTTGATTCTTACTTTCAGGGGGAAAAGAGGAAGTGGTCTTCTCCAAGAGGGGCCAGGGCATTCTAAAAAAAATCCATAAGTCAAAACAGGCAAATCTTCCTGTGACACAAGGTGTGAGTTACAAGGTCCCTAGGATGTCTGAGAATACATTAGGAACAACATCCTTCAGTAGCTCCTACTTTATGTCAGACACTTTGACCCGAGTGGCTTGTTTTGGCAATTAGTCCCACTCAGTCCCCATTGGCTTCATTGCCTCTGACACAGTAAACACACAAACCCTGTAAAGAACTCTTGAAAGCAACACAATTACAGGAACAAACGCAGAGTGAATTCCAGTGTTTATCATCTTATTAGGATGTGGTGTCCATGAGGTGACTACAAATTATCTGCTTCACTTTCTCTCAACATATGCACGGAAGGAACCCATTATCGGCTCTGTACACATCAGACACACAAGATGGAAACAGACAAGAAAAAATGCAATGAGCATGCCTATTTTAGAGTGCAAAAGAAAAAGGACGGCAGTCACTAGGCCATATCATTGCTGAGACCTTCCAGAAATCTATTTTCTCTTTTTTGTAGGTAGAGACAGCTCTAATGACTTCCATTATCCTTTGCAACCATCACAGCTCTCTTTGTACAGGAGACCGAACCAATGTGAAATTCTACCATGTT